CAGAGAGAGTTAAAGGCTCTGAGAAAGAAGGCTGCTAGTGTCTCCCCTCACCCCGGCCGCTGCTCCTGGTTGCTGTTTGATGCAGTGTGATGAGAAGAAGAAGTTGCAGATATCCTGAAATGAAGATTGGACTTTCCCCAAGGAACTACATCCCTATACAGCAGGAAGTAGTCATAAGGTCCTATGCTCCTTCTCCTTACTAACCTTCTCTCTCTCCTATCTTTTTGGGGTGTTTGAAGGTTTTAGGAGGGAGAAGGGATGGAGAAGGGAAATAGACGCATATTTCTTTAAGGAACCAAATAAAATAGTGTTAAAAGGTAGTGCCTCCTCTGAATGAAGACTTGTGCGTTCATGTTCTCATAATAATTGTATTTATAATCAAGCCCTGGAAAAAATGTACATGTCCACCAACAGGTAAATAGATAAATAAATTATAATATTCCTATACAATGAACATATTTTGTCACTGAGTAGTGAAAAAAATGAATAAATCATTTGGCCATGCTGGCATATATCTATAATCCCAGAACTCAGAAGGCAGAGGCAGGAGAATCACCAAGTTCTAGGCCAGCTTGGTCTACACAGTGAAATTCAAGCCTTCTAGAGCATCATAGCAAGACTCTGTCTCAAAAAAAAGGGGTAAGGCTGAAGAGATAGTGTAGTCACGGGTTGCAAACAGCAAGGATCTCTGTAATTTGGGTCAGAAAAATAACTGTACTTCTAATAGGACAAAACTGACTTCATCCTGGCTGGCATGCACCTGATTTATCTGAAAAAAAAAATCAAAGAATCAGATTAAGTGTAGAGTCAGGGTCCAAATGTAACCCCCTCTCCACACACATGTAACCCTAAAGTTTTTATTTTATCTTCTTATGATTTTTAGGAAAAAGCAGGTAGGTTTATTTCCTTGAAGTAGTCATGTCGATTATGACTTAACATGGCTGCAGCTATGTCAAGCTGATATCTTCACACCCTAAGATAAGATCTCTAAGGTGGTTCATTAATTTAACGTTTTAAAAAAATCCAAAGGTTAACAAGATGGCTCATTGGTTAAGACCACTGGCTGCTCTTCCAGAGGACCCAGGTTCAATTCTCAGTACACACACACTGTGGCTCACAACTGTCTATAACTCTAGTTCCAGACAATCTGACACCCTCTTCTGGGCACCGAGCATGCAAGAGTGGCACACAGACATGCATGCTGGCAAAACACCCATACATATAAAATTAAATCAAAAAGTCAAACTCTGAAAGAATTTTACTAGTTTCTAGGGACCCGGGGAGGAGACAGCAATGAGCTGACAAGTTCAACCATGATTATCAGAGAAGCAGAAAAGTTAAGTGCAAATCGAAGACATACACCTGCTAGATGACCGGGAATGGCTTCCTTTGCACAGTCCTGGGATGGATACAAACATATCAACAAATGCAGGAGGGGATCCTGTGAGCCTTTCTGACACTGATAGCTGAGCTCAACGGCTACTTTCCCTCCCAGGTAAGTTCTTCATGAGGACAAGTCCTCTTTGCTAGCTGAGAGGCAGAAAGGGTACCTTTGAATATAGAGACAAGGTGGGACATTGCAAGGGAACAACAAAAAGAGGATGAAGAAGGACCTCAGACTACAGGAAAGCAAGAAGATATCCGTGAGAAGGCCACCTCTCTACCGATGCTGAGATTATCATCTCTGAGGTTGAGGAGAGAAGCCTGGATCTCTGGAAGAAGAGAATTCACATTCCTCATCATTCTGAACGGCGGGGGGAGGGGGCATGGTTCTATCTACATGGTCTTAGGAAATCCTACAGGCAGAGCTGTGAACATTTAACAGCCAGGCCCCATGATCTATGGTCAGCATCTCATGATGCTCTTAGTGCATCCAGTGAGGGGGGCACTAGCATTAGTTGTCCCCGTTGGCCAAATGATGAAGCTCCGATCCATAGAGGCTTTGGAAACTGCCTCAGACCAGTCCAACTGACATGAAATTGGGTTGGCCTGACTGGAGGAGAGTCAGTTATGTTAACTGCTCAGGAGCCACAGGAGTTGGGGAACATGTGAGAGGCGGGACTGAAAAAGTAGTCAGGCCTGGTGGTTGCACTTGAAGGCACAGGGCCTGAAGGATTGTCTGAGTTCAGGGTAGTCTGTGCACATCTGGCAAACAGGAACTGACACCCTGAGCTGCTTAAACCTGAAGGGAATTCTCCAACGTTCTCATCAACCGGGAAGAGGAAAGTTGATGCAATCCAAATTTGTAATAGCCAGCTTTCTTTACAGTCTGTCCTTCCTGCCGTGGCTCGAGACAAGACATAAACTCAGATGAACTTTATTTGGATGAAGTCTCTGTGTAACACAACAGGATAGAAATTACAGAGGGGAATAAAAATGAGCTCCTAAAGGAGCGTACCAGGAAGTACTAGCATTTCCTTAGCTGGCTTTCATGGGAAATGTATGTAAACAAAGCCCCTGCCAACGGCTCCGGAAACAGCCAGCCTGTCCTTTCCCCTCAGCTGTTCTACATGCCAGGGAAAGACCTTCAGTGCCACTTCCTCCTCCCTCAATCTGTCACCATGTTTTTTTCTTGCAACACTAGCTCCTTAACAGACCAGGCAAAAAAAAAAAATTTTTTTTTTTTGCTTTTCAAGACAGGGTTTCTTTGTGTAGCCTTGGCTGTCCTGGACTCGCTTTGTAGAGCAGGCTGGCCTCGAACTCGGAATATTTATTCTCTTAATTCACTTTATTTTGTTGTATAAGTGTTTTGGTTGAATGTGTGTATGCATACCATGTGCATGCCTGATGCCTGAGGAGGTCAGGAGAGGGCATACGATCCCTTACGACTGGAGCTATAGACAGCTGGGAGCCACCGTGTGAGTGCTGGAAACTGAATGTGGGCCCTCTGCAACAGCAGCAAGTGTTCTTAACCACTGAGCTAGAGCCCAGAAGGAAAGTTAAAATAAATAAACAAATAAATAAATGGAAAAATAAATATGATCTCTGCCCTACAAATCCTTCAGAGAACTTATGAAAAACAAAACAAAAAAAAAAACACTTTTCCAAGCTTGGACTCAACCTCTCCAAGTGCATGAATCCTCCACCCATCATCCCATAAAAGCTTCCAAGGCTAATTCCCATTTGGAGAATGGGAACTAGCACTGCTTCATTTTCCCACCCCCAAACTTGAATGAAGTTATCTGTTCCAGCAGTTTCTGTCCCATTTTATTTTGATAAGAGGATCTTCATGCCAAGTAACATGTGGATGGTTTGGGAGAAAGCTTGTCTACTTGGAGACTGGAGAGATGGCTCAGTGGTTAAGAGTTTTCACTGCCCTTGCAGAAGATCAGAGTTTGGTCCCCAGCACCCACATCTGTGACTCACAGATATTTATAACTCCAGTCCTAAGCCGAAGCCAATCAGTGGCTTCAGGCTCAGTGAGAGACCCAGACTCAAAAAAAAAAAAAAAAAAAAAAAATGAGGTTGCTGGTAAGATAGGTCAGCAGGTAAGAGCACTTGTTTCTGCAGAAGACCCAGGTTTGATTTCCAGCATCCCCATGGTAGTTCACAAGCTTCCACAATTCTAGTTCTGGGATGAACAAGATAACACAGTCATGCATGGGAACAAATCACTCATAACATAAAATAAATATATCTAAAGAAAATGAGGTGACGGCCAAGTGGGTGGCACTCAGGAGGCAGGAAAAGGTGGGTCTTCCTCTTTGAGGCCAACCCATCTCCATAACTGTTGAGGTGGTTTTTCCTCCTGGCCCTAAGCTCCCAGAATAATGACTCATGAGACTCAAAATATGTTTACAAATACCTAGGCCACCTAGCTAGGCTCCCCTCTGACTAGCTCATAATTTAAAGTTTTGCCACGTGGCTGGTTACCTCTGCTCAGGCACCATGCACCCATCCTCCTCACATATTGCTGGCCAAATCTCCTCCACCTGGCTCTATCCCAGAATCCTTCCTGCCTATCAGGTGTCCCACCTCCTACTTCCTGCTTCAGCTACAAGCCATTAGCTTTTTATTAACAGGTGATGCTTCCATACAGACACAAGAAATTCTCTCTACACATAGCCAGTTTTAGGCCATCCAGGACCACATGGTCAGACTACACATTTAAAAAAAAAAAGTGGAGAAGCAATTGAGGAAAATGAGGAAGACATGTGAAGTTGACAGTAGCCTCCGTGGGCATATTTACCCACACGTGTGCACACACAAACACACAAAGAAAGGCAAGAGAGGAGACAGAAGAGGGGGGTGGGTGTTTAGCAGCAAGTGACACTTCTCTTCACACTGGAGACCCCACACCAAAGCAAAAAGAGAAGGGATGTGGGTTTGCGTGCATGTCGTTGAGCGTCACATTGGAGAAGGGTCTTGGGAAGAGCTGGCAGGTTTGAAGCACATTTGGCATCAGATCCCGGCTAGTGCTGTTAGGAGCGAGGTAAGCTCTGATGGCAGAATCCTATTTCCCAGCAGCAGGAGGAGCGCAAGATACCACTCCCTTCCACTCTGGGACTCATTATTCCAGGGTATCTCTGTCATCAGGGAAGAGCTGGCCAATAACCTCTGGGGGGGTCAGGGCCATAGGCCAGGCACAGTCGGATAAACATGGCCTGGGCTCCAGGCGCCTCCAACTTTTCTCATAATCAGCTATAAAGCACTGCGCAAGTTGCCTCTGTGCCAGCACTAACTCCTCCTCTGTGTGATGGGGTTGGACCAGAACAGGACCCTGCTGGCTCTACAGCAGTCACTCCCAGCCTGACAGGGAGTCGCACCCATAAAGAGGGGCCAGTAGAGAGCAGACAGGAGGGAGGAAACCTCTGAAGTTCTCTTCAGCACCAACCAAAAACAGAGTGTTTCTCTCTGCATCCTGCCCTCAGGCCCCTCCTAACCACAATGGAATACTGTGAGCTCATTTTCCCTTCCTGCCTAGAAGGCAAGAGCGGGGTGCCAGAGGAACCCAGGTGAAAGTTACCCAGAGGACCAGGATGTGAGACACAAACACAAGGTCAGACAAACCAAACTTTATTCCAAAAAGCGTACTGATGTAACCATGACTACACTACAGGATAAGGCACGTGGCCCCTCTCTTTAACCACCCCTCCCTATACCAAAACCTACCCCTCCTGGGCCTTTGTACACACTGTAGAAATTGTTCTCTGGGCCCACAAGAGGCCCCCAACTTATGTTTGGGAGCTGTCTAGGTGGCCTAGGCCTGGCCCCAGTCCTGGTGTCAGGAGGTAAGCCAGGGAGAACACCGCCAGTTTCCAAACACTCTGCACCATCAGGTGATCATTCCATGACATTTGAGGAAAGGTGGGTGCATCACAGTCCATGCTTCTCACACTTGGTCAACAGAGGGACCACCAGGCTGATAGAAGCCAAGCTGGAAGGCACAGCAGGAGGAGAGAATGAGCTCTGGAACGCTACATACAGGCACATCGCGGTACATGAGGTACCAGAAAGGCCAAGATGCGTGCTCCTGAGTGAGGTTGCCTGGCCACAGGCACAGAGCACTGGGGCTGAGTTGATCCTGAGGGGGCTGGACCTGAGCTTAGACAGTGATATAAAAAAGACGAACAGGTAAAGAATGCAAGCTGGACCTGAGAACCATCATTTGGGGAATGGGAGATGGGCAGGCAGAGCTCAGTCCCAAGTGTCCAGAATCTTGTGCCCAAAATGATAACATAGGAGTCTGGGAATCCTCTAGCATCGAGGAAGAAATCAGTCTTCCCACCACAGTTCTTCCACCAGTCAGGCGTGCACAAAAGACTGCCTGCTTCCCACCTGCCCTGCAGCAGCGAAGACTCCCAGACCCTCTGCTGGCCCCAGGCAGACCAGTGACTCTTTGGGGCCTCAGCAACACGGGAACCTGCAACATAAGAGCAAAAGTCACTGGCTCTCAAGGTGTCCCAGCAAAGCCCACGGCAGACACAGACTGCTACTATCTCTGGTTGAAAGATTGCCCACTAGCTCTTCCTCACGACCATCCTTTGTGGAACTTGGCAGCAGAGCTAGCTCAAGACAACGAAGAACACAGAAGGTCATGCTCTGGTATTTCCCAGAGCAGGGGAAAACAAAAAACAAACAACAAAACCCAGCAAATATCTCCCACAAACTTTTTTGTTGTTTTGTTTCTTTGGAGGATAGTGTCTTACTACGTGTCTGGGGCTGGCCTGGAACTCACTATGTAGCCCAGACTGCCTTGAACTCATAATCTACCCTCCATAACCTCCAACACTCTAGGATTACCGGTACGAGCATGCCTCACTTAAACTCCCATAATCTTAGTGTTTTGCAAGATGAAAACAGTTCTGGAGATACATGGTGGTGATGGTTGTGCTGTGTGACTGTCCTTGATGATACCAAACTGGCATTAACGCTGGTTACAAGGGTAAATTTTAGGCCATGCTTTTTTTTTTTTTTTACCTATTTAGGAAAAATATTTCTGATGCTGGGCGGGCCCTGAACCAAGACCCTCATACATACAGTGCACTATTCTATTCTATTTCACACCATACCTTATCCCAGAAAAAAAATAATAATTAGCCATATCAAATATGCATTGACCCTCACTGCACGTAAGATAGCCTGGTACTGAAGAAGCTGAACCATCAGGGTTCAAAGCCAACCTCTATCGCTCATTACCAAGGAGACGTTGGGTATTGCTCTCAGAGTATTTTACAGAGAATGCGTGCACTCAAGCAGTGTGCCCACGACGTAGGGCTATCGTAGGTGCTACCTTCAATTTATACTCCAACCACCACCTTCATAACGGCAGCAGACAATCCGCACACCTCCACAGCAGAGTGGAAAGTGCTCCTGCAGGGGCTGGGTGTGGCTCTGTGACAGATGCTTCCTCCAAACAACAGGAGCACTGAGCTCAGTCTCTAACACGCAGTGTCCTGTGTTTCCAGAGAGAGCCAAGCCTGAGTTAGGAAAAACAGTGGATTTCCATATCTATGGGCCATTGTGGTTATCACTGTCCCTCCAACTCTCTCTGAATAAAATCACTTTTATTTTGGAAGAGGAGATGCCACCATGCTTTCTACTCAAAGGCCTACACCCCTTCCCAGTTACTCAAAATGCCTTACCTTAGAGGTGGTACCAGCTGTCCACCCCAGGTCCAGACAGCTCTCAATTTGGTGGCAGAGCTCACCCCACCAGCTGCTCAGAGTCAGGGCCAGGGTCCCTCACAAACGACTGTCTTTTTGACTGGACGGCCACCTAGATATCCTTAGCTTCATATTTCAACACTGTGAACGAATACTCAACAGTTCTCAGGTCTGGCTGGTAAGGGGCATCTAGCTCCTTTGTCACTGGGTGGACCCCCTGAGAGAGAAATTCCCAGGGAAGAGGAGCTTCCCAACCTTCACTGGGTCAACCTGTGGGAATGACCTAGACAGCTCAGTGTCTTGACATGGGAATGGCTTAGGCGTACTTGTGAGTCAGGAAACTAGGTTAGCATGTATGGGCATGGTACCTGCGGGGGTTTCTCAGAGAGACCTCATTATGCTCACAAACACTGTGAATCTGCACTGGAAGACAGCACCTTTGACAAACCCATTTGCCTTCTAAACCTTCTTTTGGAGGTAGCACGTGAATGGCTCCCTATATAACCCACTGCTTCAGAGGAAAGAGTATGGTTCTAATCGTAAAACCAGTTTTAAGATTAGGAGTTGGATCTGGCTCCCCGAAGGGGTGGGCATCACCTTGACAATCGCCGTTGGTCACGTGGGATTCCCCAGTGCAAACATATTTAAGACTGGGGTGCTGCAGAAGCTGCTGAGTGACTTCTGGGAGGCCAGGGAGGTTAGAACATTTGGCCCAGTCTGAATGAACCCCAAAATAAAGGCGGAGAGAAGACTGATGTGGTTTAGGAAAGTACAGCCAGACGGCCTTTGCCATCCACCACTCCTGCAGATGGCTCCACCCGCAGATTTCGGTGATCGAGGGCTGCTCAGGGAGAGATCCAAACTCTAACTAAAGACGTCATCCATCCCAGCACCAGCTAAGGCCTGTCCCCAGCCCCACTGGCAGCTGCCTGACTGCATTCTACACCACCCCAGGGCTGGAAGAGGGGGCAGGGAAAGGATGCTCTTCCGACTGCAGGGCAGGAGGGAGGGGGCAGTGGCGCAGCCCAAAGACTGGTTCCAATTTGGTCCCTCGGATCTACGCGGCAGCCTGTCCACGTCTAGCTCGCGACAGGGAACGGGGAAAGGGACTTCCAGGCTTAGCCTGGGGCGGCCCGTCTGGGTGTGTGCGTCAGCGCCTCGGATAGCTGCGCAGGTCCCTGGAAGCTGATGTGGCAGTTAGACTGGAACCGAACGAGGTCGGGGAGCCAGGGCGCGGGCGGTGAAACACAGGCAGGGAGAGGGTGCTGGGGCGCACTGGCACGGGGCGGCGGCAGGAAAGGCTCGGGAGGGTTCCCCCGCACCGATGTGGGCCGCGGTGGAGCGGGCGGCCTCACACCACCTCCTCCTTGCCCTGGTAGCGACGGCAGCAGCCGTAGAGTGCCGAGAGCAGGTAGAGACCGAGGCAGAGGCCGCCGCAGACGGAGGCCGCCAGGAAGGCATGGTAGGCGCAGGGGAGACGGTAGCTCTTGAGGTTGCAGTAGCTGTGACGCTGCGTCTGGTCGATCATGATGCCCGTCGCGGCCCCGTAGAGAGCGGCCGCCAGCAGGTCGTGCGCCACGTTGACCACGAGCCAGCGCGAGCCCAGCACGGGCACCAGCTCCTGCTTGCCCAGCAGCGTGATGAAGTAGAGCCCCAGGGTGAGCAGCCAGAAGAGCACGGACACGAAGAGCGCGAAGTGCACCGGGCCCTGGTACTTGCTGGTAGCGATGGTGATCCAGAAGGCGGCCCCGGCCAGCAGCTGCAGCAGCCGCAGCACGCCCAGCGGGCCGCGCAGGAAGGCCCGCTGCAGGCGC